TTGCTCTTTATCAGTCATTTCTGGAGCAAGGCAGACACCAAGCTCTGAATGATCCTATCCCCTCCCCCATTTCTAAGTTATCATTGAAGTTTTTCTCTTTTTTGTAAATTTTTTAAGATGTATTTATTTATTATAGAGTTGTAAAGTACAAGTGAGGATTTACTACATAAGTAGACTGCATGAAGTTTAAACTTCTAGGCATCCCTCACTTCTCCTGGTAATGGACCGAGTACCCTTTGTGTCGTCACATACCCCTACCCTCCTCGCTCCCTCCCTCTCTCCCCATCTACTGATCCCACCCTTGTGCTAATGTGACTAGTTATCAGGACCCACTTGTGGGTGAGAACATGCAGTATTCGGTTATTTGTTCTGTGATAATTCACTTAGTATGATGGACTCTACTGCATCCAAGTTGCTATGAAGGCCATGATTTTGTTCTTCTTTATGGCTGCATAATATGCCATCACGTATATGTACCACATTTTCTATATCTAGTCCACTTTTAATGGGTAGCAGGGTTGGTCCATGTTTTTGCTACTGTGAATAGTGTGACAGTGAACATGGTTGTGCAGGTTTTTGTTAGAGTGATCTATGTTCCTCCGGGTATATTCCCAAGAGAGGCATTGCTGGATTGTATGTAAGATCACCAAGCTGAAAAGCTTTTGCACAGTAGAAGAAACTATCAAGAGAGTAAAGAGACAACCCACCGAATGGGAAAAAATATTTGCAAAGTATGCATCTGAAAATGGCCTAACATCCAGGATCTACAAGGAACTCAAACAAAGTAAAAGGAAAATACAAACAACCCCATTAAAAAGTGGACAAAAGACATGAACAGACACTTCATAAAAGATGACATACAAGCAGCCAACAGACACATGAAAAAATGTTCAGCCTTACTAATCTAATCATCAGAGAAATGCAAATCAAAACTACAGTGAGATACCACCTAACTCTGATAGGATGTTGGTAATAATACCATAAGCTGGGTTGATGTAAGGAGTAGAAAATGTATAGTTCCTCTACACAGCACCTGGTGATTGACTGCCACAGAGCATTTCAACTGAGATGTCTAATAGGCACCTCAAACTTAAAATAGTCCAGAATAAAACTCTTCATGTCTCCACCGTGAATACACAGCATACTCATCAGCGTCTGTCCCCAGTGTTCCCCATGTGGGTAAAGAAGATCAGTGTCCGCTACCCGCTTCTCTCCCTTTACCCCAGCCTGTTCATCCCCTGCACTGAGAGAACACCCACTCCTTATCCTGGTTTCCATATGCATTCCCAGCCCCATCTTGTAACTTCCTTCCTCCCTGCAGCCTCTACACTGTCCCAGAAATCTGGGACTTTTCCCAGGCTCTGATAGGGTTCTACTTGGAGTTAGTTGGGCCATAGCTTAAATGTCACCTATGGAAAGGCCTTCCCTGAGCACTCAGTCTCAAGTCACCCCGTTGTGTCACCCTGTTTTGATTCTCTAAATAGTTCTAGGCACTGATATTTGTGTTTATGTCCATCTCTGCCCTCAGACTTTAAGCAGGACTTTTCATGATTGCCACTGCCTTTCCAGCACCCAGAATTTTGCCTGACGTATGTGGCACCTGGCACCTGTTTACCCAGTGAATGGAGTCAACAAATAATAGCTGCTTTTGTTATTAGCATTAAAATTGGGTGTGTTTTCATGAACTAAGGTATATATATTTTATATGTGTTATATATATGTATGTGTGTATTTATAGATAAGACTAAAAATTAATTTTGGGGATTTGATAGCAACGCCACTGAAATAGGGACCCTAAAATCAGGTTGTTTTTGTTCTATTTCCTCCCACACTGGAAGACTAAAAAAAAGTTGATTGACTTCCACAGAAAACTGCTAATAGCTATGCAAGTAGGCCCTCATCCTTCTTAAATCCTCTGCACCCACACAGATTCCACTTGATATGCTAAAACGACCCTGCCTGATAAACTTAATTCAGAAATGAGTAAGTTTCTGCCCAGAAAGTATGAATTAAATAAGAATTATCTTAACTACTTGCAAAGCCTGCCCCTAGTGTCACTCCACTGTTGAATACAAATCAGAGATTAAAAGAGGAGTTCCTTCCCTCTGATTTTCATTGACATGTGCACAAACAAGGGTCCCTTGGCGCCCTGGAGCCTCACGCTTATTTTCTGAAGTATTCTGCATTGTGTAAACTGCTTTCTCTCCTGGCGAGTTCTGCCTTAGCAACGGCCCCCACTCTTGTTTCTGAACATTCCCACAGACCAGGGACTTCAGAGGCCTTCATTACCTGAAGCAGGACTATGGTTACAAATTCTTAACCTCTTCTCCCCTGTGCAGGATGGCACTTTCAAGGCTAGATTACACAGTGGGTTGGTAAACTCTCAGTGCTCTGAAGGACTCCATAAAGGGGTACTTCCAAAGGAGAGGAAGGAGGGAGTAGACAGAGGCCTAATCTTTTGCCTCATCCGCTCACAGCAGGTGTCAGGAAACAGTGATCTCAGGGATTGTCCATAGTAAATCAGTTATTTTTGCATATTGGCCCCCACTGATGGATTTGAGCAGCCTTTATTACATTATTGTGTACTTTCTGTATTCTAGTCCCTAGAGAAAGGGAATGAACATACCCTTAAGGAGTAAACACAGACACAGAGCATCTGACTAGACACTGGCTTCCACAGGAGTAGATGTTTGATTGCTCCCAGTGACATATCCCTGTACCCACACTCTGGTTGCCAGACCCATCTTCACGGTGTTTCCCTTGGAAGCCCCAGAGGCGTCTCAGATGGAACACAACCAAAGTCACACTCACAGCCTCTACTTCCCACCCTCTCTGCTTGTCTCAGCAAATGGCATCTCCATGGATCCCTAAACCCAGGAGATGCTGTTGGTCCCTCCCGCTCCCTTCCCCTGCTTATGTGTTCTGCACTCACAGCCTATCCCTTTTGCCTCCCAAATCACTTTCAAATTCATCTTCTTTCCATCTCCACTGTCACCACCCTGTTCCTAACTCCTACCATTGTTCATTCCCCCATCTCCTAACTGATCCTGCTGTACCTGGTTTGGGCCCCTCCAGTGTGTTCTTCACAAATGGGACCACTTCACACTGGTGTCCCTCCCCTTGCCCCTACACACATGGACACATACAACAGGCACACACTCATGCAGGTACACATTCACCCACTCTTTGACGTTGAGATCCTTATGTGGCTTTCTGTTGCTGTTAGAATAGCAAAGTCTGGCTGAATGTGGTTCCCACTCATCTTTTCAGCCTTGTCTTGAACTGTGTACCCTGTCATTCTCAGCTCTTCAGCCAAGTCACAAGATCTTTCTTATTTTGTCATACAGTAAAACTGACTTTCTTTTGATACACAGTTCTAGGACTCTTAACTCGCATACTAATTGTCTTTTTTTTAAGTTGAGAAAGCAGGTTTTATTGAGAGGACAGAAAAGCTCCCACAAGGGGAGGGGACCCAAGGGGGTTGCCCACTAATCTTTTCATATCTTGACCACAGCTTACACCTTCCTGCCCCAAGGCCTTTGTGCATATCCTCCCCTCCACCAGCCCTGGCTTGACAAGGTCACTCTCTGGAGCTCAACTCAGAATCCCTTGTCTGATCCGTGGACTAGGCCAGCTCTTCTTGTATGTCCTCATGGTACCACTTAGTCTTCCTTCATCATGTTTTGAGTGATTTTAGACTCACTGGTGTGGCTGTTGATGAATGCCTGCCTCTTTGACTTAGTGGTGAACTCAGTGCAGGCAGGGACACGTGCGTATTTTTGCTCACCATCGTATACTCAGTGCCTAGGACAGTGCTACTCAGTAGGTACTCAGTAAGTTTTGTTTTTTTTTTTTGTCTTTTTTCATGAATGAGTAATGAATCACCTGCACAGGAATAACCTAGCCCTTGCCCACGAGCCCCCACTCTGATGCCTGACCTTAGGGAGATGGAGAATTAGTACAGGTAGTAGAAAGAGCCTGACTTGGAAATCAAGCAGACTCACTTTGACTTCTTCCTCCTCCACCTCCTTGGAGAACTTACCCTTGTCTGGTCCTTTTTGTTGTTGTTGTTAATGAGGATTATAAAATCTACCTCAAAATCTGGTAGTCAAGATTAAATGTGGCAAACTATATGAAAGTATGTGTCTCATAATAGGAGCTCAGTAAATGGCAGCCTTCACTCATCCAGATGGTGGTGAGACTTACAGAGAAAGGGACTAAGTGGTTGGTGTTCAAGGTACTATATCCTTGTTGGAAAATTACAAAATCATGGACATGTTATTGTTCTACTCTGGTACCATTGCCCTTTATGCCAAAGCATGTCCTTGGCTCACTTTATTTAACATGTGCTGTTTTCATGCCTCTTGCTTGTGCCATCGTGCCAGGCTCTGGGGAACTGGGAGAGGAGCATGACAGGCAGTGGCCCTGGAAGCCCTGGCAGTGCACTGGTGCAACAGGTGAACAGACCAAAGCCAGGGTGCAGGTTCATTCAGCTGTGTGTCCGTTGAGCCAGGAGCTGCTCGCTGCCCCGGGAAGGGAGCGGAGGCTCACAGAAGAGGCCGAGTATCCTCCAGCTGCAGCACTATCACCTGGCTGAAGGCCTCACACCTGAGCCCCAGCCAGAGGAAATGGAGCTTAAAGGCTCTCTAGCACTGAGTTCACTACCAGAGGCAGTAGTGAATTTCTGAAAAGCATTCACAAGTGTTTAGGGGTTTTTTTGTTGTTGTCACAATATTGGGGAGCATTAGGGGCGCCAGGTGGGCAGCAGCCCCAGATGCTAAACACCCTGCAGCTACAGGCCCTTATAAAGCAGGGAGCATGGGCTGCCCGCCTGCCTGTCTCACAGGCCGATCTGGGCAGGCAGAGATGAGAGTTCGGTGCCAGTGAGACCCAAAATGGCATCTCAGAGGCCAGGTGGGCTCTCCGTGAGAGGAAAGCATTCTTGGCATCTCTGATGACGACCTGCCTTTTCTCCCTCTGTTCCCCTGACCCTCGCACAGGAGCGTTTCTTCTGGGAGGAATCCTCTACTCCTGGCAGTTTCCTCATTTCAACGCCCTGAGCTGGGGCCTCCGGGAGGACTACTCCCGGGGTGGCTACTGCATGATGTCGGTCACTCACCCCGGCCTGTGCCGGCGCGTGGCACTACGCCACTGCCTGGCCCTGATCGCACTATCGGCCGCCGCCCCGGTGCTGGATGTAACCACTTGGACCCTCCCCGTCATCGCTCTGCCCATCAACCTGTATATCACCTACCTCGGCTTCCGGTTTTACACTGACGCGGACCGCAGGAGCTCGCGGAGACTGTTCTTCTGCAGCCTGTGGCACCTGCCGCTGCTGCTGCTGCTCATGCTGACCTGCAAGCGGCGGCCGGCCACGGACCCGGGGCCGCCCCAGAGCTGAGAGCGCACGGGCTGGGGAAGCAGCCCACGGGCGGGGACAAGCACAGTTTCCCTTTGCTGCCAGGCAAGAGTACTTTGGTAATTCTGGATCGCGAGGAGGGAAATTACTAGTTTTAGTACAAGATTATCAAATAATTTGGTGCTCAGTGATCACTTGGCCATTTTTAAAAAGTGTAATACCCAAAGTGCTCCCCAGACAAGAAATGGTTGGCTCCGTCGATGAATACAAAGAAAGAATAGGCCAGGCGTTGTAGCTCATGCCCATAATCCCAGCACTTAGGGTGGTTGAGTCAGGAGGATTGGTTGACCCCGGGAGTTCAAGACCAGCCGGGACAACATAGTGAGACCCTGTCTCTACAAAACTTGAAAAATAATTAGCGAGGCGTGGTGGTACACACTTATAGTCCCAGCTACTTCATCTGAGCCCAGGAGGTGAAGGCTACAGTGAGCCATGATTGTGCCACTGCACTCCATGCTGGGCCACAGAGTAAGACCCTGTTTAAAAAAAAAAAAAAAAAAAAAAGAATATTTTTCTGTTTGAGAGTCTTTATACATTTCATCCTCCTACCCCATTCTCTATTTTCTTCTTCCTCACGTGAATGTACATATGCACATCCTCCTCGCTCCTTCCCACACATGCTCACACACGTTCCTCAACTGCCAACCAACATGCCAGTGGTGGCCAAACCAGGTCAGCCCTCATAATCTGACTCTGTCCTGTGTGCTCAGGTCCTTCCAGGGGCATGTCAGAGAAAATGTGCACTGTGCCCCAGCATCCCCTTCCCTGTGAATGAGTGAGGGCCCCTGGAGCTGGCTTTCTCCACCCTGTACATATTCTCTACCACATATGACCTCAAACAATAAGAGAACAGCAAGGATGTGCTGCTGCACAGCACTGGGAAGGGGATTCCAAACGGTTTCCTAGGGAGTCTCAGATGGACTGCCAGCCCATCCCCCCCACACCTAATTCCAAGTCAGTGTTTCAGAACTGCAGGGAATCAAAGGCATCTTTATAGTTCACTTTACAACACAGACACTGTCTGAAGCATTTCTTTCTGGAAGGGTGGTCCTAGACGTAATACCAGAAATCTCTCCGGCTCTGATCCCATTACTGTACCTCTTTAGTCACGACTGTGGGTCGTCCGTTCCTCTTGGCTGCATGGCTTTCCCAAGGCTGTATGAAAAGGGAAGTTAGAAAAAAGGGTGGCTGGGCTAGCCAGCCCACATAGCTCACATTCTTGTCCCTTTAGTGAAAAACACATTTCCATCCTGGTATCTCCTGAATCCAGAAATCCAGTAGATTTAAGAGCCAGAAACACGGTCCTGAGAGTTATCCTGTAGCCAGGTGTGACCTCAGGTACCAAACACAGTCTGTCACCTGTAGTTGTTTAGTCCTTTGTACTCCCACAGGTCTGTGTAGAGTCCCGTGTACCCAAAGATCTCAGAGCTCGACAGGCTGTTTTAATTACTCAGGCTCCGGGCACTGCTGCTCTACAGGGATTCAGTCAGGAGTTTGAGCAATACTTAAACAGTTGTTGGAATACGCCCATTCTCTCAAAAATTTCCAAAGCGATTGCAGATAGCATCTGATCTCTGTTTCTACTTATCTGAAATATTCCCTCTTGGCTGTCCCAGGCTATTTACTGTGGGCAACATGGCATAGGAATGTCTGAAAAAAGCATCTATAGTTTGTTACAGTTTCAAATTTGTAAAATGCATTAATTTTCTTTTCCCTCCACAATAAAACACTGTCCAAGAACAGGAGTGTGTGTGATGGCATTATATTTAATCTTCTTGGGCTGAGTTTGCACAGTTCCTGGTAGAACTGATATCACTTCACTCACTCCTTCAATAGCCAGCAAAGGGTTACTGAGCACGTAGAGATTTTCTTTTTTTTTTTCTTCATGGTAAATTGACAGATGATGGTTGTATATATTTATGAGGTACAATGCAATGTTATAATTTATGCATATAATGTAGAATAAATCAAGCTAATAAATGTACCATCACCTCAAATACTTATTTTTTGTGGTGAAAACATTTGAAATTTACTCGATAATTTTTAAATGTATAATACATCATTACTTACTGTATTCACACTGTGCACTATATCTCAAAGGAAAAACATGTTGCTCCTCTCTAATTGAGATTTTGTGCCCTGTGACCCATCTCCCATTCCCCCAGCCCTGAACCTCTGTAACCAGCATTCTGTTCCTTGCATCTGAGAATTCGATTGTTTTAGATTCCACAAGCAAGCAAGAACATGCAGTATTTGTCTTCCTGTGCCTTATTAAGTCGAGAACTTTGACTTTTTCACTTAAAGGAAACACCTGATGGCTTCTTTTTTGGCATATCTGAATTTCCGACCTCTACTTTTCACCAAGTAAAATAAAGGTGACTTGAACACAAGCACTGCAATACTGCCGCTGACAATCTGATAACTTAGGTGGCTACTAAGTGCCTCACAGGTAGGGAGGGTGTTCAGCATGCATCAGCTGGACAAAGGGATGATTCACGTCTCAGGAGGAACAGCATGGGGCATGCTAGATTTTCCCACACTCCTCAGCATGGCACACAATTTAAAACTTAGGAACTGTTTATTTCTGTAATTGTCTATTGAATGTTGTTGAATCTCGGTTGAGTGCAGGTAACTGACACCCCTGAAATCAAAATCACAAGGCCAAAGAGATTACTAATCTGCCTACCTCGAGTAGAAGGTGAGTGAGAGCAATATGTCTTCTTCTTGTTTGTTGGAAACCTGAATGTTCTTGACCTCATGCTGGACAGATCACATTCCAGCACTCTTGGGCTGCTGTTTCCTAAACCACCTGTAAGATGTGAAAACACGTTCTGGATCAAAGAGGCTCTGACGTTCACATCCTAATTCAGGTCCCATCACAGTGGCAGGATTCCACCATGCACATCACAGAACATCTGAGCGAAAAGGCATCTGACAGCGCGTGACAACCCTGAGCCTGCATTCTGATCAGCCCAGCCTGTGTCATAACTCACTCTGGAACCCACCACTGAGGCCACCGTGTTGAGCCTCTGAAAATGTATCCTGAGTCTGAGCACCGCTCACTTCCTCCACTGCCACCAGATTGGTTGGACCACCCTCCTCTCCTGTGACATGTGCCTACGAGCCTCCTGAGTTTTTTCCTCCAACTTTCGCCACTACCCTGTCTAGCTTCACCCTGCAGCCAGCATGATCCTTCTAAGATACCAGGCAGATCAGGCCATTCCCCTGTTCTCCGCCCTCCAAGGGCTTCTATTTATGATCCCATGTGATCTAATCTCTGATCTCAGAAATTCCCTCCTGCCACACCCACTATCCTGCCCACAGGACTCAATTTTCCTCAGATACTCAAAGTTTATTCTCTTGGGGGTATTGTCACCCCCTGTTCCCTTTACCTGGGATCCTCCCTTCACCTCATGGGTCCCCTCTTCATTTCATTGAGATGACTCCTCCTTAGAGAGCCCTCCCTTGACATCTTACCAGATAGCACCCCAATCCCCACCCCCAGTGCTTACTACTTCCTTGCTGTTCTTTCTTTTTTCTTCCTGACATATATCGCTATTTGATGTCCTACATCTATGTATTTATCTCATTACCTACGTATTGCCAGTCCTCCCCCTAGATACAAGCTCCACATGGACAAGGACTGTATCTTTGTCTCACTCTGTCTCCAGCATCTAGAACAATGCTTGGTACAGAGTTAGTACTCAATAAATGCTTTTTGAATAAACAAAAGAATAACTCTTTGTGGGTTAAATGTGGTCCCTGTGGTCAGTCTGAAGGGATTTGAGCTCAGTAATCATCAGCTTAGTGTGTAGCCAAGAGCAGCACCATACTTCCAGGTTATCTTAAATAAATGGAACCCCTCCTGTATTATAAATTGGGAAGCTGCTGGAAAGGTAGAGGCTGAGAGAATGTGCACCCCCAGGTGCAAAGAAGGTCAAGAAAGCAAGTGAACCCATTCAGTGGGTGAAGACGGGGTTCTGGGTCTTGGTAAAAGCCTCTTTCCTCACCATACAGTATGGAGACACTGCAGATCTGGGCACTCTGTGAAGCTGCTGCTGGCTGAGGGCTCCTCAGTAATGCAAAGACAGGGCACAGCTGGGGACTCAGCAGAGAGCAGTGTGAGGGCAATGCAGGAAATGGTGGAAGAGGCAAAACGAAGTACTAGGTTGAGTGATCCCACCTCATCCACATGTCCAAAGAAAGGTGAGATGACTAAGACTAATAACTGGAGATCAGCAAGGTAAACACAAGGCTTCCACACTTTTCCAGCTTCAGCAAACATGAATGCAAAACAAGGACACAAACCAAAATAGTATCTGCTGAGAGGAGAGGCACCTTCCTTCTCACCAGTCATTTATTCTGTCATCTGCTGAGCAAGTGAGTATTCAAGGGTGCCATGTGCTAGGCATTGAGTGGGAGAGAAGATGAACCAAGACACTCCTGACTTCTAGGAGTTCACTCTGGAGTCTACTCAGAGAGGAAGTACAGCAGTAGGGAGGCTGGGAGTAGAAGGGACCCTCTAATTTCTTACCCAAAGTCCTTGAGTGTGTCTGCACTATTCCCAGGCCCCCATTACCTGACTCGGGGTTGCCTTGCTCAGCCTTACTGAGGTCTCAATGTCTGCTTCTTCATAATCCTAGTTCTTCTGCCTCTTGATTTGACTCTTGGGGTTCTTTTTTGCAGGCTCCATACCCATCACAACACTGGTCTGGCTGTAGGCCCTCTCTCTCTACTAGAGAGACTTGAGCCAAACTGAGAATTCATCCCAGTCCACAACTCTTTGCTGTGTGGGATAGTCTAGTGTCTTTGTATCACCTCAGGTGTGTTTATGTGTTCAAAGGAAATAATTCAGTGTAGGCTTAATCAGGTCATCAGGCCAAACCCTGGTGGGGAGGGCAGTGGAGGAGAGAAGTCACTTTAGACAGAGAGAACAGGTCGAGCAGAGACTGGGGGTGAAGGGGCATTGAGAGTTTGGGAAGCATCAGCAGCTCTGCATGACCGGAGTATGGGAGCCAGGGAGGGCTGGAGGATGAGATTCCACCCAAGAGAGAAGCAGAGGGACCAGATCTGACTGATTTATATTAGCCTAAGTCATCTAGACTTTACCCTGAGAGCAATAGGGAGCCATTCACGAGTCAAGCTAGAAAGTAGTATGATGTGTGATCAGGTTTGTGCATGGTCAGGTTTAGAAAGAAAATTCAGACCATTGAGCAGAAAGTGGATTGGAAAAATTAGAGAGTGCAGGGGAGCAATAATGGGTCTGAATCTGGGCAGACACAGAAGATGGGAAGCAGAG